CATTTATCTACTTGCAGTTTCTTGCTTTCGAACTGCTAGGTTGGCAGGAGCTGGGGCCAGAGACGGGAGCTCACTCCGTCATGCAGCACACTCGGGTCTCGAACTGCTGAACTACTGACCTTCCGGTCTGCAGCTCAGTGTTTTAACCTCCAAGCCACCGTGGCCCCTTAATCTGGTAATTAGTTTGAGCCAAAAATTGAAATTATGTGAAATAGCCTGGAGATCCTGGGGGGGGGGGGGGGGGAGCGGCTGCCAACGCTGTAACTCTTTTTGGCACCACTAGTTGGCAGGCTGTGTTTATTTTTGGGCTGAGAGTGCTGTGACTTGCTTAAAATCACCCAGCTAGCTTCAAGTGGGGAAGCGGGAAATCGAACCCAGTCCTCCAGGTTAGAATTGTGAGCTGGTCTTAACTACTACACCAAACTGGCTTTCTAGTCTTGAGGCTTAGAGGAGGAAATCAGTTGATTGCGGCCTACTGGGCATAAAACGGCATCAGCGTTGAGAGCCGGCAGAGGGCCCTGACGCATGGATGTCCAGCTTCAGTTTGAAGAGGTGAGTCCTCAGAGATTCACATAATTGAGTCCCTGTCTGTGAGGTACAGAAGTCTGAATTCAGGAAACGTCCTTACGCAGAGCCAAAGTTTGTTCAATTTATTAGGCAAAAAGAAGAAATCAGACTGATGTGAATAGCACGTCCAGGAGGCTAATGAGATCAGAGGTGCTCCGACTGAATTGCCCTGTGCGTTCTGATGCAAAGCGTCATTTGAACTCGGTAGTTCTAGGGGCATAGATAATCAGGTATTCGAATACGTAAGTTCTTTTACCAAGGATTTAGTGATGGGAAGGAGACAGCGTGTTTGGAGGCAAGTCTAATGCTAAGCTTCTGTTGCAAAAAAAGGCCGAGCTTGGGTCCGAGGGATGGACCTTTTAATATACGCAACCCTCAGTTTGCACTCTGGCAAACCTAAGAAGAGCCTTGCTGGGTCATAACAAAGATTCATCTTGTCTAGGTTGGATCCTGCTTCTAACAGCAGGGAGCCAATTGCCTCTGGGAAGCCCCACAAGAGGTTGCTCTTGCAGATCCATCTCTGGTATACAGAGGGGCACTGCCTCTGGACATGGAGGCTTTATTTATTAATAATATTTGATAGCTACTGATGGATTTTGTCCTCTGTGGATTTGGCTGATCCTTCTTAGAAGCTTCTTAGAGCCGGTTTGGTATAGTGGTTAAGTGTGCAGACTCTAATCTAGGAGAACCGGGTTTGATTCCCCACTCCTGCACTTGCAGCTGCTGGATGACATTGGGCAAGCCATAGCTCTGACAAGAGCTGTCCTTGAAAGGGCAGTTCTCTCAGAGCTCTCTCAGCCCCACCTACCTTACAGAGTGCCTGTTGTGGGGAGGGGAAGGGAAAAGGAGTTTGTAAGCTGCTCTGAGACTCCGAGTGGAGAGCGGAGTATAAATTCAATCTCTTCTTCTTCTTCTTATCTAAAGCTTAGATAAAATGTTGTTGGGGAAAAGAATTAACCTGTGTGCCTCCCTATTCCTCCTCCTCCTCTTCTTCCTCCTCTTCCTCTTCCTCTTTTTCCTCTTCCTCTTCTTCTTCCTCCTCTTCCTCTTCTTCCTCTTCCTCTTCTTCTTGGTTCCTACCAGAGAGAGGAGCTACCTGTGCAGACCAGACAGTGTGTCAGCATGTTATAGCTGTTTGCCTTGGGTCACATCACAGCCCAAGATGTGGTGGCGTGAGCAAAACAACACACTAAAGACATGTGGCCTAAAGCCTCTCATTCCTGACCTGGATAGCCCAGGCTAGCCCGATGTCATCAGATCTCGGAAGCTAAGCAGGGTCAGGCATGGTCAGTATTTGGATGGGAGACCACCAAGGAAGCCCAGGGTTGCTACACAGAGGCAGGCGATGGCAAACCACCTCTGAACGACGACAAACCACCTTTGTCTTGAAAACCTTATGAGGTCACCGGAAGTGTGCTGTGACTTGTGGCAAAAAGAAGCAAAGGGGGGGAAAAACCTATTGTGGTATTTTTGCTAGTGAATTCCATCTGTTGAGTATTCACTGGGCGAAGAAGCATTTTTTTCAGGCCTGAATCTACTGTCAATCAGTGTCGTTGGCTGACCCCAAGTTCTGTTAACTGTAGTGGGGGTGGGGACAGGACTTCCCTCCTATTCCTGTCTTTGCCCCTTTACTTAATGAGCCAGAGAGAGGAAAGCACTGAAGGCCCAGTATTGCAGAGAGGTGAGCTTCTTTTATTCGGAAAGAAATGGCTTAATAACTGACTGGTACTCTCCATTACAGCAGCTGCCAAGGAAACATTGCACAATATCCCTTTGAGGCATCCTTTCCCCTCTCAAATTATACAGAACAAAGGAAAGTGGTTTCAAAAGATAGTACCTCTGCCAGTCTTCCCTTTTGATCAGCAGCCATATGTTTCTTTATCATCTATTATGAAGCTGCACAGGCTTCCTATGTTTGTTCGGCTGTGCTCTTACCTAGCTGCAGCCAGTTTGGTGTAGTGGTTAAGTGTGCGGACTCTAATCTGGGAGAACCGGGTTTGATTCCCCACTCCTCCACCTGCACCTGCTGATGTGACCTTGGGTCAGTCACAAGCTCTGGCACATATGTCCTTGAAAAAGAGCAGTTTGTGTCAGAGTTCTCTCAGCCCCACCCACCTCACAGGGTGTCTCTTGTGGGGTGGGAAAGGGAAAGGTGTTTGTAAGCCACTCTGAGACTCCAAGTGAAGGGCGGGGTATACATCCAATCTCCTCCTCCTCCTCCTCCTCCCACCTATGTGGATAAACGTGTTTCAGAGACGCAGAATTCAGAAATGACAAGGAGATCCGATCCGGATTCTAGGTGAAAGCTGTGAACTGAACGGGGTGGTCAAAGTCCGTTTTACCTCACTTTTTCAAAGGAAGGACTTCTTTTGGGTTCCTCAGTGGGACGAGCTTCTTCAGGAGGTGGTGGGCTCCCCTTCTTTAGAGGTTTTCAAACAGAGGCTAGTTGGCCATCTCAAAGCAATGCTGATGCTGTGAACGTAGGCAGATCCTGAGAGGGAGGGCAGGAAGGGTTGCCTCAGTGCTTAGTTCTCGTGGCCCTTTTCTCACACGCCCAGGGAAATGCTGATCACCACTTTGGGGTCAGGAAGCAATTTTTCTCCAGGCCAGGTTGGCCGGGGATCCTGGAGGGGTTTTTTGCCATTTTGTTGGCTTTGAGCAGGGGTCACTGGGGGTGTGTGGGGGGGAGGAATTTGTGAATTTCCTGCATGGTGCAGCGGGTTGGACTAGATGACCCCAGAAGTCCCTTCCAACTCTATGATTCTATGAGTCACTGCTGGTCACTTCTTCAGATAACAATTCTGAAGAAGCATCTATGACTTGGCATGTTCAAAGAGATGGTGGGGGAATAGATAGTGAGGCCCTCGCATTTTTTATTATTATTTTTAACAAGGTGGGGGAGATGAGCTGCTGGCATTTTTGCTAGAATTTAGACAAAAGTAGCAATCACCAAAATAATGACTTCTGTCTCCTGGTAATCCTGGTTCCCTGGTAACCGCGGTTAAGAGACCAGGCGTTAGCGCCGAGACTGTGCATTCCCTCCACTTGCCCTCTTCATTCTTGGGAGAGAATTCTTCCCCCACCTCCTTGACCGCAATTCAGGGTCCCCTCGGCTAAACCACGAGTAAGCATAAACTCGGTTAGGGCTAAACAAGTATGTCCTTTTTCATTTCTGGCGGGTGGGTGGGGTTGTCATCATTGTGAATGACGACTACTCATTTTCATCACTGGTTTTGACAGTTTTCGTCGATGCCATTTGGGTAACTTCCATACAATTCCTATGGAGTTTATGCATGTACATAGTTTTATATATTGCATCATGCTTGTTTACAGACACAAAAGTAATGTCGAAAGTTTCCCATGTTTTATGGAAAACATTTGTTGCACAGAAATTGAAAATGGAGATTCCTGGGTGCGGTTTGCACAGCGAGGAAACAACACCCAGCATTCTTGAGAAATTTCGTATCATCCTTGCTCCGTGTGACCATAGCAGGGGGCTGAATCGGCATGAGACAATGGTTTCGAAAGACAGCTTAGAGTACCTGCAGTCACTGTCGGTGCAGATGTTCCGTTCACCTCTGCAAAAGTGGGACGGGCAATTGAGAAAAGGAAGGGGGTAGGGGGAAAGGAACGTGACCGGGATGGCCCAGACTAGCCCGATCTCATCAGTTCTCAGAAGCTAAGCCGAGTTGGTTCTTGTTGCTGCTGGGATGGGAGACCACCAGGGAAGTCCAGGGTGGCTGTGCAGAGGCAGGCCATGGCAGACCACCTCTGAACATCTCTTGCCTTGAAAACCACATTGGGGGTCACCGTGAGTCAGCCGTGACATGATGACACTGTCCACACACGGACAAAGGGCATGCCGAGTCCGACTCTTCGCGACCCCATGGACCAGATCCCGCCAGGCCTTCCGGTCTTCCGCCGTCCTCTGAAGTTTGCTCAATTTCATGTTCGTTGCATCTATGACACCATCTCATCCTTTACTGTCCTCGTCTTCTTTGACCTTCAGTCTTTCCCAGCATGAGGGTCTTCTCCAGTGAGTGCTCCCTTCTCATTTGGTGGCCAAAGTATTTGAGCTTCAGTTTCATCATCTGGCCTTCCAGGGAACAGTCAGGGTTGATTTCTTTTAGGATTGACTGATTTGATCTTCTTGCAGTCCAAGGGACTCTCAAGAGTCTTCTCCAGCACCATAGTTCAAAAGAATCTATTATTTGGCGCTCGGCCTTCCTTATAGTCCAACTCTCGCAGCCATACATGACTACTGAGAATACAATTGTTTTGACCATGCGGACTTTTGTTGGCAGGGAGATGTCTCTACTTTTTATCATGCTGTTTAGGTTCTAGGATGTATTAACAGTGTAAAAGAAACTTGGAAGAGCTTTGCGTTTGGACTTCCCTCTCATCCCAGGCTTTCTTTTCCCTCTGGTACGCAGATTCATCAAGGTCAGCATTATGACTGATGGGGACTATGACTACCTGATCAAACTCCTGGCCCTGGGGGACTCTGGGGTTGGGAAGACAACCTTCCTGTACAGGTACACCGACAACAAGTTCAACCCCAAGTTCATCACAACAGTTGGAATCGACTTCCGGGAAAAACGTGTGGTGAGTGTCTCCCCCTCTCTTTGCTGGCCGTTGTATAGCTCTCCCTCTGAGTTGTGAGTGACCTGTCTAGATCTTTAACCTAGCCAAAGGCTGTGTTCATGTGCAGTTTTAGATTTTGCTGATATTTCAGATGGTTCCTTTTCTCCTTTTCTCTGTGTTCTGAGCTTTTAAGCTATGGAATAACGATGAATCGCTAGCAAGATTTTAAGCATTGTTCAGAGTACTCATGTGGACTTGGGAAATAGCTTACTAATACTTGCCTGTTCTTGATTGTTCCATCTGAGCATACTGTCTAATACTTAGAAAGAAAACTGAGTTGGCTTGCGTTGGGAAGGAGGGGTCGTAAAGATGTTAGGCATTTTGGGTTCTGGTTCGGCTACCCGAACCAGCAGAAGTCTTCCTGCCATTCATTGCTAGCTGGTTTACCCATTACAGGCGATGCATTGGAGCTGAAAGGTGGACTTTTAGGTCTTCTGAGAACTCAGGACTGTTAAAAGTGATAAAGCTGGTCCTGACCTGGATAGCCCAGGCAAGCCCAATCTCGTCAGATCTCGGAAGCTAAGCAGAGCCAGTTTGGTGTCGTGGTTAGGAATACGGACTCCAATCTGGGAGAACCGGGTTTGTTTCCCCACTCCTCCACATGCAGCTGCTGGTGTGACCTTGGGTCAGTCACAAGTTCTTCCAGAGCTGTTCTCTCAGGAGCAGTCCTCGAAAGAACTCTCTCAGCCCCACCTGCCTCACAGGGTGTCTGTTGTGGGGAGGGGAAGGGAAAAGGGATTGTAAGCCGCTCTGAGACTCCTTCGGGTAGTGAAGGGCGGGGTATAAATCCAATCTCTTCTTCTTCTTGGCAAGTATTTAGATGGGAGACCTCCAGAGAATACCAGGGCCGGGAGGCAGAGGCAGGCTATCAAGCCACCGCTCTGAACATTCTCCATGCCCCAGTAGGAGCCGCCAGAAGTCACCATGGCTTCCAGGTGCAAGCACACACGCATAGGCACCTGCATGGCTGGATACAGATCTCTAGCGCTGACATTAAGAACGATCTATAGTTGGCTTCCGGTCTGTGGGTCAGCGATGGCAGTCGTTCTCACCGGACCTCAGGGGAGCGGCCCCCACACCAGCAGTATGGAGGGGTGCTAACCCTTTTGCGATAGGCTCCAGGCCAGAGGGCTTTTGAGGGGCTAACCCCTTTGCGATAGGCTCCAGGCCAGAGGGATTTTGAGGGGCAGCCTCTTCGATGGCTCAGTGCCGGAGAATTGAGGCTTCCCTCTGCCCTGATGGTCCTGCCGCTGTGTGGCCCGCGGGCACAAGCTGATTTGACTGGGACAAGCGCTGGAGATCGAGCAGAAAAGCAATTACTGCAAGCGAGGTCAGAGAAATGACCAACAATGAATGTGAGTTCAAAATAAGCGGAATAATTTAAAAGCGACCCCCCCCCCGTGGGAAAAGTGGAGCGCAAAGAGGGATGCCTTTGGCGAATGGTCAGATAAGCGAAACAAAGGGGCGGGGGGGGGGACAACCAGCAATATTGTTTTGAGAGACTTACTTGAGCGCTGACATTGAGGCGACGATTTTTTTAGCCCGTGAGAAGCGGTTTGGAAGTGTAAACAATCATATAAAATGGCGGCCTTGCAAAAAAAGTTTAAAACGAAACCGGCGGGTAGTCAGAGTCCAAAACCGGAAGAGGGAGCAGATGTCATGAAAATGTTAGCGGATATGCTTAAGCCGGTGATGGAGCAACTCGATGGTATTAACCAGCAACTGACTTCCTTGAATGAAAACTGTGCATCCCAGCAGCGCCAACTGGCAGAGACGGAGAAGAAGGTGGAGCATGCAACCGAGATAATTAAAGAGATAGACACCACAAATAAGAAAATGAAGAAAAGAATGGGGGAAGTTGAAGCAAAACAAAACTTCCAAGAAAACCGTTTGCTACAACTACAAATGGAAAAAGCCAATATGATTCTCAGATTCCAGGGAGTGCCTGAATCGGAAAAGGAGAATCTGAGGAAGCTTCTCAATGAGATCATCGCCCCAGCAGTAGGCTCAACAGCGGATGAACTAGTAAAAGAGATGGAGACTACCTATAGGGCATACTCCAATTATATTAAAACAAAATTGCCTGCCTGGAGAAATTGTGGTCAGATTCTCAAGAAGACAGACATGCTATTTTAAAAGCGACTTCAGCAACTCCACTGAAACTGGGGAATACAAACATTAAAACTTTAAAAGACATTCCATTTGAAATTCGCCAAAAGAGGAAAAGCTATAAGGACTTAATTTAAAGCCAAAGAATTTTTGAGATGTCAGTTGGGATCGGAGGAAGAATCGAAATCAAGTGACTCCGCTACCTCTGGAACGGATGAAGACTCTGCTGTAGAAACCGGTGCAGGCGCAATGAAAGCTACATATGATTTCAGAGACAGAAAACCGAAGTAAAGGGAGGAGGACTCTGAAAATGGCCTTTTGAAGCAAATACCAAGAAGATGCTCAGAAAGTTCTCTCACAATAACTAATATACTAACATTGAAGCCGAGACAAAAAAGAACTCTACAAGTATATTGTTGTACTAACACTTTTATTAATAACACTTAGATTAACACGGATATGGTCTCCTCCTCTTGGGTTTTCAGTATAGTGTGGTTATCTTTCCTTTATCCTTAGATGTAGTCCCCTTCCCTCATATTTTCTTTGTAGTTTGATAGTCTAATATAAAAATAATAAAAATATCCCTCCGGGGATTTAAAAAAAGGAAAGAACAATCTATAGTTATAAAACAATCCACCTCTGAAGCTCAGCTTTTAACTACGTTTCAGGTCTTCCTCAGCTTTCCAGAATGGATTGTGTTACAAATGAATTTGGGATGGGTGGGATTGAAGCTTGCCATTTTGTCGTGTGTCTTTAAGTATGCATGATATATACCTTAACTGTGTATTGTTTCACAGCAATACTCTAGAGTTCTGTACTGTTGCAGAGCAGTTCTAGGAATCTAAATGTAGCCGAAGGTCACGGTGATTGAAATGCACTCACAGTCCCTTTTTTGGTGTCTCCATCTTTCTCTTCCTGCGTCAACAGTTGCATTGGCAATCGAACTCCGGTATCAAGGCCAGATGATGTCTCATTCAGATAAAAATCCTTGTTTGGTGTTCCTTTTTTTTTTTTTAAAGCACAAAATGCACTTTGCAACTTGCTATTCTGGGAAGTGGCCTTGCTACATTTCTGTTCTTCTTACCCCTAAGCCCTCATTTTCACAGAACTGTCCCCAAAACAGTAAATGTCCAATTAACGCCAATTGGGCAATAATTGGAAAATAAATGGAAAAGACCAGTGGTAGCTGCTTTTCGCTGGCATGAATTCATGCTGTTCTTACTTAGACATGCGTATGACACAAAGGTGATTGAGAATCTTTATTGTCTGAGTTTCTGTCCAGGTTTGGATTCCTGTTGCTGTATTTTAAATAACGGTGGACTGTTCCCTTGTATCTCACCTACCTTGCAATACTCATCTTATTAAATTGGGCTGAGACAGAGTCATCAGTGCCCTTGGTGACAAAAGAGAACCTCCGCATACCGTGGCAGTCAACCTCTGAAACCCCTTGCTAAGGAGGCAACATGAGAGAAGGTCTGTCTGCCCTGTTTGTTAGACCTTCAGGGCAACTGGGTGGCCGCTGTGTGAAATAAGGTGCTGGACTACTGGTCTGATCCAGCAGGGTCCTTGGGTTAAGCAGCACTCCTGGCAATGGATGCCTGTGTAATTGTCTACAGGGGGTAATGCCCATGGCGAGCAAATGGTGAACTAAGTGGTGTGCCCTCTTGGCTTTCCCAGTGATCCCCCGAGCCTGCGAGCCTGGTCATTCATTCATTCATTCATTCATTCATTCATTCATTCATTCATTCACAGAATCATAGAGTTGGAAGGGACCTCCAGGGTCATCTAGTCCAACCCCCTGCACAATGCAGGAAATTCACAAATACCTCCCCCTCCGCACCTCCAGTGACCGCTGTTCCACACCCAGAAGAAGACAACAAATCTCCAGGATCTCCAGCCAGCCTGGCCAGGAGAAAAACTGCTTCCAGACCCCAAAGTGGCGATTTAGCATTTCCCTGGGTGTGTAAGAAAGGGCCGCAAGAACTAATCAATGATCCCTCTAAGCTGTGTTGTCTTCTGAGCAAAAATTCTACTTTGTGAGCTACTGGCATTAAAGTTGTGAGCGAGCAATTTGGCTGTTGCATAAATTAGTTTGCCCTGGAGCCATCCTGCCTGAGCCAAGACAAAAATGTGTGAGCTGGAAGCTGAAAAACTGTAAGCTAGCTCACACCAACTCAGCTTAGAGGGAACACTGGATGCAACCCTCCCTGCCCTCCCTCTCATGATCTGCCCAAGTTCATAGAACCAGCATTGCTGTCAGAGGGCCACCTAGCCTCTGTCTGAGAACCTCCAAAAAAGGAGAGCCCACCACCTCCCCAGGAAGCCTGTTCCACTGAGGAACCGCGCTGTCAGGAAGTTCTTCCTTATGTTTAGCCGAAAACTCTTCTGATTTAATTTCAACCCGTTGGTTCTGGTCTGACCTTCTGGAGCAACAGAAAACAACTCCACACCATCCCCTATATGACAGCCCTCCAAGGACTTGAAGATGGTTATCATATCACCTCTCAGTCATCTCCTCTCCAGGCTAAACATACCCAGCTCCTTCAGCCTTTCCTCATAGGACTTGGTCTCTTCATTCGTTCATTTGTTCGTTCGTTCATTCATGTTATTTGTAATCCTCCTTTCCCACTGGGCCTTGGGGCGGACTACACAGAGTGAATCAATACGATCAACAGGATGGGATGTTCAGTAAACAACAAAATGGGATTTTGGGTTGTAGAAAATTCGAATTGAAGCAAAAAAATAGAATTGAACCAAAGCGTAGGGGCTAACATGTCACATCAAGCGATGCATAGTTGTATAGACGATAGTCCCTAATAATCTGTCCGAGTAACTTTGTGAACCGCTTTGTACAGTTATGCCAATTTAAGCCCCTGCTATTGGCTTTGAGTGAACAAAAGATGCCGCGAGGCAACAAGTGGATGGCTACCGTGTGTTTTGACAAAAGTCTTTTCTGCTTCTCAGGTGTACAATAGCCGAGGGACTAATGGATCGCCTGGGAAAGCCTTTAAGGTTCATCTGCAGCTCTGGGACACAGCTGGGCAAGAAAGGTAACGCACGAGAACTCTCGGTTGTCCGAAGCAAAGGAAATAGGAAGAGCAGATGAAGCACGGTCTGTCTCAGTCTGCTGCTAAGGCATTTCCAGCCAGCTACTTGGCAAGATAATTACATTTCTTGCATGCTTGCCTCACGTCCTTTGTGAAGGGTTTGGAGAAGAAACCCCTGTGCTCAGCTTCTTAACTCAGAATCAGGAGATGCTTATGATGGGTAGAGCATGGGCTTGGCATGCAGAAGGTCCCAGGTTCAATCCCCGACATCTCCAGGTAAAAAGGATCAGAGCAGGTGACGTGAAAGCTGCTGGAGACCCTGGAGAGCTGTTGCCAGTCAGGGTAGAGAAGTCCGATCTTGATGGACTAATGGTCCGATTCGGTGTAAGGCAGCTTCGTTTGGGGAGTGTCAGTCCACAGTGGCTTCGGCATTTGCAGTTGAAAAGTTCAGTTGATAAACATTTGACTCTGCATTTAAGGGAAGGGGTTGTGGCTCAGTGGTAGGGCAACTGGTTCGCGTGCAGGAGGTCCCAGGTTCGATCTCCGACATCTCCAGTTATAGGTGATGTGAAAGGCCTCTGCCTGAGACCTTGGAGATCTGCTGCCAGTCTGAGTAGACAATACGGACCTTGATGGACCCAAGGGTGTGATTCAGTATAAGGCAGCTTCATGTGTTCCTGGGAGGAGGTTTGGTTCCAACCAGAAATGTGTGAGGAAGGGTGCCCACAGCTGCTTAGCTGATTTTAGTACCATTGAGCAGAAATGTTTACTGACTCTCTTTTTAAAATTCAGCCCAAATGTTGACT